TTTATATATACGTGTATATATATACACGTATATATAAACATATATATACACACATATATATACATATACTCATATATATAAAATAAAAAATCATTTTGCCTACCATAAATACCTCTAGGATCCAAAGTAACGCCAGAGTAGCTTTCCCTTTTGATACCTTCTGGCTAAAATAAAGGCAGAAAACATTCAGTTAAAAACATAATTAAGTTTATATAACCTGAATTTCCTGGATCAACTTTTCCAACTAACAAATTCTTTTTCTTGGAAAAGGCAAGCTATGTAAAAATACTTACATGCATAAAAGCAGCAATAAGATTTTATGGCTATTTGCATATTGACCAGAACAAACACTTAAATGGAAGTTATTTATAAGTCATATAATTGTTCTAAGTGTTTTCTATGTATTTACTCATTTAACCTCTAAAAACCTCTATGAGGTTGGTGCTGTTATTATTCTCATTTGACAGATGAGGAGACTGACACACATGGAAATCAAGTAACACCATCACACTGCTAGGAAGTGATGGAGCCAAGATTCAAGGCCAGGCAGCCTCGCTCCAGAGTGCACAGAACCACAATGCAAGGATAAATAGGGACTGTGCCTTGCACAAAATCAGTTGGTACATGTTTACTGAAGTGAATTTCATAGCTGAAAACAGAACTCAGAGAGTGAAGAGCCAGGAAGACCCAGTCTGTCATTAACTGGCCATATGACTCTTGGCAAGAATCTTGTCCTTTAAAAAGTACTATTATTTTTAATTTGTAAATCATACTTATATAAAAATATTAATGTTAATAACAGGAATACAATTGACAGATTGTGAGTAAATTATACTTAACAAATGATATATTTCTTCCTTTTTGGGCCTGTTTATTTGTTTATACAATGGAAAGTTTTCTAGACTATAAGTTCTTTAAATTCAAGGGTCACGTCTTATTTATTGTTTTATCTCCAGTACCTTGTATAATGTTTGGCACATAGATTTTAAGATGCACTTTCTGAATGTATTAAGGGAAAAACAGCCTGGAAGACATGTACCAATTGTTAAAATTGGGTATCTCTGGGTATGGGAATTATTGATGATTTTTACTTATCTGTGGTTTTTCAATATTTTATATTTTCTACAAAACAAATATTATTGTTTTATTAAAAAATTTTAGGCACAATTTCAGACTTATAGAAAAATTGCAAGAATAGTACAACAAAATCTAGAATAACCTCCAAACAGATTCCTTAATGCTTAATGTTTTGTTAAATTTACATTGTTGTTTTTCTCTCCCCCCCTTCTGTGTCTCTCTTTTGCAATAATTTAAGCATAAGTTATTTAAGCATGTTTTACTTACCACCACTCGTAATGTTTTTACTAAGATTTCTTTTCCAAACGAAGTGTCCAGTGAAAAATTGATGTTGTGAAGGCCAGTTTCCAGAGGAAGCACGGTGAAGGTCACCAAGTGACTGGAGGAACCTTCTACTTTCTGGTACACACATTTGGAGAGCTTTATGCCCTGATGATCAGTGGCTGGGCTTCCCGACATACAGATTCCCTCCACAGCAGACATTTTAACACAGAACTGAAATACCACAAGTGAAGAATTATATCAAAATAATTTTTTTTTTTTTTGAGACAGAGTCTTGCTCTGTCGCCCAGGCTGGAGTACAGTGGTGTGATCTCAGCTCACTGCAACTTCCGCCTCCCAGATTCAAGCAATTCTCCTGCCTCAGCCTCCCTAGTAGCTAGGCTTACAGGCATGTGCCACCACACCCAGCTAATTTTTGTATTTTTAGTAGAGGTGGGGTTTCTCCACGTTGGCTAGGCTGATCTCAAACTCCTGATATCAGGTGATCTGCTGCCTCAGCCTCCCAAAGTGCTGGTATTATAGGCATGAGCCACTGCACCCAGCCTTGAAATGTTTTATCTCTAAAAAAGTTTACCTTGATTATGCTTGTGTGGACACAAGCTCTCCGCTTTAACAATGTTAAAATAATCCCTTAGATTCTAAGGCACAGGAGGAAGCTCCTTTCAGATTTCCTAACATAGATACACAAATTGTTGTAGAGTTTAGCAATGCAAAGAGATGTCTAGAAAAGTCAATACTGTCTCAGACACATCTTACCTTTCTCAGACTGTTACCTACTAAATTAGGTACAGAGCTCATGCTGTTGTGATAGAACTTGTTATCCTGTCTCCTTACATGTTTGTTTGTATTTCAGATAGTGGGAGCCTTAGGTTCAGGTACTTGTTCCTTTTCATCTTATTCATCTTTGTATCTTTTAGCTCAGTCTTTGGTATTCAATAAATGATGGTTTCATCAAAGACTGAAAATTCCCTATATTGGCATTCAAGGCCCTGCCCATTATGTCCTCAGCTTATTTTTCTAATCTTATCAACTTCCCATTTGTATCTCATTTTACAACTAAACTCTGGCTCCAGAAACACCTGGATTCAAATTTTGGCATCCGTCTTATTAACTGGCGATGGAAAGCAGTTGCATGAACTCTCTAATCCTCCATTTTCTCATCTTTGTAATGGGAATAATAATAGTGCCAACTGACTTCTGGCTCAACTAGTGAACATTTTTCGTCTTCCCTCCAAATTCTGGTGAACTGATAAAATTGCGAACTAGACCCAAAAGAATAAATCCATAAAATCCAGAATAAATCAAGCAGGTAAACAAGAGAGAGAACCAGCTATTCAGCCACTAATTTTGAGGAATTTCTTGAAAATAGAAAGTTCCTTTTCCCTCTTAACTCTCTTCTTGGGAAACAACCACCAGGATGGGAGGGGCCAGAGCAAAAGACCATTGGATCACCTTCAGCCAATGATTTCCTTAGGACAGCAGGGGTAGAATGGGGAAGGATAGATATAGAAGAGTCATTTAATACAATTCAACATAATTGCATTATAAAAACTCTTAGTAAATTGAGATTAAAATGAACTTTTGAAACTGATAGAAAATATCAAAAACAGTGGTTCTGGTTTCAGTAATAGCCAAATAGCTCATGTTGGGCAACGCTTCTGAAAAATAACCACAAACTCTAGACAAGATATATATTAAAACAAACAAACAAATTATCTGCAGATACCAGAGAGTGGAAGGGAAAGTGGCATTTGGGAGAAGGGAATGACACTGAATAAGTACCCTGCTTTTTATAGCTTTACCCTGAGGGCAGGCTCCATTGGTGCCTTTGAGTGGCTAAAACCCCAGTAGAACCCGACATCATACTGGCTTGAGGAACTAAAGAAGAAAGTAGGGAGTAGTCACCACAGCTGAATAGTGAAGGAGCTCCAAGTTCTGCATATAATCCTGGCTCAAACCTGGCTGACCCTTGAACTATGCACAGCACAGACTTCTAGCATCCCAGCTAAGGCTAAAAATACTGAACTGAGATTCAGAGTTTGGGACTGAATTCAGCCAGCTGTCTGCTAACACACACACACACACACACACACACACACACACACACACGAAAGATCTTTAGAGGAACGTAATAGAATCCAGAGTCTACGTAATATTTTTATTAATAAAGTCTAAGGTTCAATCCAAAATTACTAGATATAAAGAGATAGGAAAGTGTAACCCATACTCAAAAGGAAAGGTAACTAACCCCAAAATATCACAGATGTATTTTTTTTTATTTTGATATGATGAAAATTCACTGATAAAGATTATGTAAAATATGGCAGTATAGAAATATGCATGACACTTTCAAATGCTGTCAAGTTATATATAACTGTGTCATTGCAAAGGACGTACAAAAGAGATGGCTGGCTAGATTTGGCCCGTGGTCCATAAATTGCTGACCCTTGATTTAGTTCATAAACCAAAAGGATAAAGAGATGTAAAACATTCAACAGATGGCCCGTCAATTTCCTTATATTAATTTATAAATTCAGGATAATACCTATGAAAACCCTATTATAATTTTTAAAGGAGAATTCATCAAACTAATTCCAAAGTTTATCTAGCAGAGTAAATGTGTAAGAATAACAACATCAAAAGCATTTGAAAAGTAAGAATACCAGAGAATACCTGCCTAATAGATATAAAATGTAACCACAAATCTATGGTACTTTTAATCAGTGTGATACTGATGTAAACAAAACAGAAGAGATATCTATAAATAGATGCACATATATGGAAATTCAATATATATGGGGGCAAGGTGACATTATAAATCAGTGGAAAAAGATGAATTCCTTACAAATACTGCTGGATCACTGGCTATCTATTTGAGATTAGCTCTTTATTTCAGATTTTTTAAAAAATCTAAATGCTCGTAAAAAGCTATAAAAGTACTACAGAAAACATAGAAAAAAACAGGTTTTTTTTTTTGAGATGAAGTTTTGCTTTTGTTGCCTGCTAAAGTGCAATGGCACGATCTCGGCTCACTGTAACCTCTGCCTCCCAGGTTCAAGTGATTCTCCTGCCTCAGCCTCCCGAATAGCTGGGATTACAGGCATGCACCACCATGCCCACCTAATTTTGTATTTTTAGTAGAGATGGGGTTTCTCCATGTTGGTCAGGCTGGTCTCGAACACCCGAATTCAGGTGATCCGCCTGCCTTAGCCTCCCAAAGTGCTGGGAATACAGGCATGAACCACCTTACCTGACCAGAAAAAAATAGTTTTTTAAAAAAGATTTTATTTTAGGTTCAGGGGTACCTGCGCAGGTCTGTTGTACAGGTAAATTGCATGTTGCAGGGGTTTGGTGTGCAGATTGTTTCATCAGTCAGGTAATAAGCATAGTACCTGATAAGCAATTTTTTTATCTTCACCCTTCTCTCACTCTCCACCCTCAAGTAGGCCATGGTGTCTGTTTTGTGTCCATATATACTCAATATTTAGCTGCCACTTATAAGTGAGAACATGTAGTTTTTTGTAGAAAAACCTTTTTAAAACTTGCTGTGTGAAAAGATTTCCAAAAAACACCAAACTCAGAAGACATAAAGGAAAATATCTAAAGATTTTATAACACACAAATGAAAAACACTGTTAACAAAGTTAAAGACAAGTAGCAGATTAGAGAAAATACCAGCAACATTTATAATCAAAGGATTAATAACTGTAACATACAAAGTGCTCCTGTAAACAATAAAAAGTACATGTGTTGAGTACTTACTATGGGCCAAGTACTATATTTACATGAATTAGCTCATTTAATCTTCAACTATGAAATGGCTACTATTATATCCAATTTTTCAGATAAGGAAACTAGGCAAGAAGAAGCTAGGTAACTTACCCCAGAAAAAAGCAACTCGATGGAAAGCAAAAGAAAGGGTATTAAAGTAGTGTATAGAATATCATAGAATACATTAAAGAAGAAATACAAATGGCCAACAGACAAATGAAATGAGGTTCAACATTACTAGTAATCAGGGTAGTGAAATAGAAACATTAATGACGTATCACTTGTGTCTGTCAACTTGGCAAAAATTTTATATGTATTAATAAACAATATATAGTGCTGTCTTTCATGTTTTTAAATGTTACGTAGTTGTATTCATTGTGTACATATTATTTTGCAATTTGCTTTTTTCAGCAATGCTATATTTTTGAGCTTTAATCAAAATGATACATGTAGTTATCTAGTCCCTTCATTTCAATTTCTGTATATGTGTTCATTGCATGCGTAAAAGAAAAAGTATCCCCTAAATTATAAGAATGTGAGGGATCAAGGCTACCTGAATACAGTTGGTAAGAATGTCAATTGATGTAGTCCTTTTGGAAGATAATTATGGCTATATTTATCAGAAGGTAAAATGTCCACGCCCTTTAGCCCAGTTAGTTCACTCCAAGACAAAACGTCCATCCTACAGAAATATACATGTAGGAAGATATGTATGCATAAATGGAGACTTTGCAAAATCACTTATGATAGTGAAAACCTGGAAACAACCCAAATGCCTTTAATAGAAACATGGTTCAATAAATTATAATATACCCACCATGTGAATTACTGTGCAGCCGTTAAAGTAATGAAGTAAATCTGTATATACTGATATGGAAGGATGTCTCTGATAATATTATTAGTGGAAACACAAATTGCTGATGCAGTGTGTGTGTGTACGTATGTGTGTCTGTGTGTGTATATATATATGTGTATATATATACGTATATATATGTATATATACACACATATGTATATATGTGTATATACGTATATATATGTGTATATATATGTGTGTGTATATATATATATACACACATACACACGTACATACACAAACCTATTTCATATGTTTAAGACTAGGTGAGCCGAGGAGCCCCTGCTGATCTCAGTTCTACAGCTGAACAGAGTTTGGCTGTGGCCTCTGTGCCTTACCCATTTGTTATGCCCACCTATTTATGTGTCTATCTTGAATTACAATTTACATGGTTTAAGAGTGACACATCCATAATCATCTACCAAAATCCTTTGGTAGCCAAGATCAGTGTGAGTTATAAAATTATACTCAGACTGTTTTGATGAGATAGTCTGACTGTCTTAGTATCTCAGTTTCTAGGACTCAAGCCAATCTTGAATCAGGATTTTGAGACATAAAAACCACTACAAGAACCCACTGGAGAAATGGTTTTTGGTATCTCTATCTGAATTATGCTTATCTTAAATTCAAGAAAGCATTCTGTTTGCAGAAAAGATAGTGAGTTTGAAGGCAATAATGTTAAAGCAACTTCACAGCTTCTTAATGGAGGCCCTTTTCCAACTCTTCACATCATATTTAGGGTGGTGGGAGTGAAGCCAAATGAGGGAAGGCAATTCCACAGGGCTGAAGATGGTAGCATGATTCACAGGATTTATGCAAACCCTGTGAGTAAATTCTAAGGAAGATAAATGAGTAACATTTTGACTTTATTTCTATAAAAATAAGATAATACTGGCTGGGCACAGTGGCTCATGCCTGTAATCCCAATACTTTGGGAGGCCGAGGTGGATGGATCACAAGGTCAGGAGTTCAAGACCAGCATGGACAACGTGGTGAAACCCCATCTTTACTAAAAATACAAAAATTATCTGGGTGAGGTGGTACATGCCTGTAATCCCAGCTACTCAGAGGGATGAGGCAGAAGAATCACTTGAACTCGGGAAGCAGAGGTTGCAGTAAGCCGAGATCACGTCACTGCACTCCAACCTGGGTGACAAAGAGAGACTCTGTCTCAAATAATAAATAATAATACTATCAGTATGGCAAATTCTGATTACTTAAGTTTATTCCCCATTTACAGCCTGTGGCCAAGTAAAATCTGTGTGTGCATTCTCTGATATTTAGCATTACCTGATGAAACAGGTTTATATGAAAAAGTTCATTTTTACTGAAAATTAAAATTGTGGAAAAAAATCAAATTGGCCTTTCCATGACAAAAAGCAAGTCTGACTTGGCTAATTATTTTATCAATGAGGACTGATTTTTCCAGTTAGATTTTGTAGCAAACATATTACATAAATTGAATAAGCTAAATGTGAAGCTCCAAGATATAAGATTAAAATATATTGATAAAGAGGTAATAAAATTGACAATAGTTATATTTTTTCAATCTTCCTGATAATATTGGATTAAACAGCAATGCCTACCTCTATAAAAGTGAAAAATAAGAATAGGATTTATACCAAACCCTCTCTCATTTCTAACAACAAATAATATTTATCCATAGCTATTAAGCCAATTGAGAGAAAAGTTTCATTTATCAAATGAGAAGATAATTTTTAAATAAAATTTTATTTTTTACATTTAATAACTTTATAAATATATATTATGTTATTTTGTCAATAGTATACTAAGAATAATATTTGTAATGATACCTAAATTGACATATCATTTGATACTTTGAATCTTACAATCACAAAATTTTAAAATATTTCATTTTCAATGTATGTAGATATTTTTGGTCATCAAAGTATGATGGTGATCAACAGAAAAGATTCAAGCATAAATATATAACAGGGAAGTAGAATGGAAATATGAATTCATTGACGAAAAGAAATGATATGTAATCTGTCGTTAAGAACTTATTTGAAGCAGGGAGCAGTGGCTCATGCCTGTAATCCCAATACTTTGGGAGGCTGAGGCAGGTGGGTCATTTGATGTCAGGAGTTCAAGACCAGTCTGGCCAACATGGTGAAACCTGTCTCTANCACGCGCCACCATGCTCAGCTGATTTTTTGTATTTTTAGTAGAGACGGGGTTTCACCATGTTGACCAGGATGGTCTCGATCTCTTGACCTCGTGATCCACCCACCTCGGCCTCCCAAAGGGCTGGGATTACAGGCGTGAGCCACCGCGCCCAGCAAGAGAAGCTTTTAAAATGCATTTGAAGGACCGAATTAAATATCCTTTGGGAAGGAAAGGAAGTTGTTTGATTTGATTTTGCAATTGGATTGAAGGGATGGAAGAAACCCGCATCATATTGTAGGTAATGCTACCAACATTGTAGGTAATGCTATCAACATTACCTGCAATAGGACAGCTTCGCTACTTTCTGATTCTGAAACAACAGAAATCTGACCCTAGCTTTGTAAATCTGAGATCTTTGCCACAAGTATGTTACTATTTATAGACACCATTTAACACTCAGTGCCAGGCACCATTCTAGGAGCCATTGATACTGTAATCAATAAGATAGACACTGTCCAAGCATGGTATGAGCTTTGTTCAGACAAATCCTATGCAGAAATTTACTGTATTTACATAAAAGTTAGAAAGTGAATAATGATAAAAGAAGAGCTGCTATGGTTTAATTACTTACCTGGAGCCTGGCGCCCCCTTGGCTTTCCCATTCCTTCTTCCTTTGGGACCTAGTACAGTAGTATGAAATCACTGTCATGAGCTTCCCACAATGCATCATCCTCAGGGTTACGGGATCACAGTGTCTCCTGGAAGGACTAGGCTCAGATCTCGGAAAAATGTTTGCCTATAATTCTAATTTAAAACTTTTAGAGAATTATTTATGTTATTAAGTTTTGGAATACTTTAGCTTTAGCATTCATTCATTCAATCATTGAGTGCCTTCTACACGTAAACACTAAGAACCCAGTGGTGAAAAAGACAAGAGTCCCTGCCCTTTTGTAATGTCCAAGCTAGGCTTTAGACATATAATAACACAATTAGTTATTTAATTGCTGTTGTGAAGAGTGCTATGATGGGAAAGTATAGGATGTTTTGTGGAGCTATTAAAAGTTTCCATGAGGAAGTAGCATTTGCGCTTTACTAGTTGATTAATAGAAATTAATTAGTCCAGAGATTGCAAATTCAAATTCCTTTAAGAGATCAGGCAGGTAACACAAATGTGTGTATCTAGCAGGGGTAAGATAACAAGAAATATTAGAACTGGAGGCCCGCTGGAGGGAGTCTACTGGCCTTAAGGCATTCACATTCAAACTTCAGTAATCTCTTGGCTGGCCAAACAAAAGAAGCAGGCAGCCAAAGACAGCAGAAGGGCTGGCAGTCTGCAGCGATGAATGGGGCAGGAGGACAGCAGGAGCAATGGCCCTGAGGCAGGAAGAAACCCATCTGTTTTGATGAACTAAGATCACAACGGCAGGTGAAGTACAGAGCCCTTGGAAGAGAGAGTGACTCCCACAGGGCAGGTGAGGGCTTTGGTCTTTATCTCAAGTCCCCTTGGATGCACTGAAGGGTTTCAAGCAGAAAAATGAATTAATTAGATTGGCATTTTTGAAAGCTCACTGAGCAACAATGTTGGAAAAGTTGGAAGCAAATAAATCAATCAGGAAGCTGTGGTGACTCATCTCTTCTTCAGTTTTTCACTTACATTATTTACATAACTGTGTTTGTCTTGATGCAGTCTCAACCGTGTATTTCTCACTCCAGAAAACCAAGATGAATATTTTCTTCTTAGTTCCTGTCTCTAAGGAAAGAAGTAGAGTATGCGGGTCTTTGACCTGGAACAAAAAGAGGCACTCAGTACCCCGTACACAGAACCTTCTGTCTCCTGGCTATTATTAAGTGCTGAAGTGTCGGCAATGATACTGTAAATCCTAAGTATTACAGTAGCAGTGAGAACAGTTCCCAACCTGCTGGAGGTGGGAAATCAGGTAAGGCTTCACCTACAAACCTAAAAACATGTGGACTTTATCATTTGGTTTAGCATTTTAAAATGCAATTCTGGCCGGGCAGGGTGGCTCACACCTGTAATCCCAGCACTTTGGGAGGCACAGGCGGGTGGATCACTGGAGGTCAGGAGTTTGAGACCAGCCTGGCCAATATGGTGAAACCCCTCTCTACTAAAAACACAAAAATTAGCCAGGCATGGTGGCAGGTGCCTGTAATCCCAGCTACTCAGGAGGCTGAGGCAGAAGAATGCTTGAAAAAAATAAATAAATTTTTTAAAAAAAAGGAGGTTGCAGTGAGCCAAGATCCTGCCACCACACTCCAGCCTGGGTGACAGAGCAAGACTCTGTCTCAAAAAAAAAAAAAAAAAAAAAAAAGAGCTTATTTAAACATTTTAAAAATTGATTTCTATGGTATTTGAAGTCTGCTAATATAAGTTTGATGCAAGTTTTATTTTAAAATATCAATATTTAAATATATTAAAAGTAATAGATTGCCATCTTTTTAAAATATATGATAAAAATTTTAGATGCCAAATTTTAAATTGTGGTAGAGGGGTACATAGTTTTTCTGAAACAAGGGGATGTAAGCAAAATTTTAGGAAACCACTGAAATACTAATCTCTAAGAATAAAGTTAGCGTTTTTAAAAAATATAGGTAGAATTTTGGAACACATTGAATTCTCATGCAAAATTTTGTGATGTTAGTTTCAAGTCAAATCAGTCAGCCTATTATTTAATTCTCTTTAGAAGTGTGCTGGCAAGAAGATAAATCGTGGGTCCAGTCATGGTTAGAATTGTATCCTGGAGTGAGAGAGGATCCAGGGAGTTGGCATAATTTTAGTCAGTGTGGTTTTAATGACAGCTTGTGAATGCTAACATGAACAAGGAGTAAAGTAAAAAGAGCAGAGGAGTAATGGACAATAAAAGGGACTGAGTCGATGGACTGGAGGTTTCAGTGATGCTACTGAGCCAAAGGAGGTCGTCACTGGTTGGTGAGATGTGAGATGTCTGAAATCAAGATTTTAGAGAGGATGATAAGATCTATAAAGTGAAGTTGAGAATGAATGCTAAAATGGAGGAAAGGAAAGAGTTGTTAGAATCAAGGAGATCAAGGAACTCTGAGCATGGGCAAATAAAGGAAATAAATATGAATTCATCCTTCTCTGGACTTACACAGCACATTGATTATCTTAAGCAATTTATTCTTTCAACTGAAGTTACATAAATACCTACTTGCCCTTCCTCCTTTCTTCATCCTTTTAATTCATATCCCTACACATCTAGTACAATGCTCATTGTAATTGTTTGGTTCCTATTGCTGAACTGGGTTGAATTTTTACTTTTTTGTGTATGATAATTCCACTAACAGAATTCTCAGAAAACCAGAGAATGTTTCCCTCATTCCATAAATATTAATACCTACTTACCTGCATCCCAGTAGTCCTATAGTTGTAAACGGTCCCTTTCAACTGGACCTGTTCTCCTCGTACAACAGAATATGGTATATTCATTTCCAGGAAGACATCTTTGAACACCTTTGCCTTGAGGGTATCGGCAACACATATACCTTCAGCCCAAAGTGGAAGCAAAGTAGAATTATATTAGGAAATCCCTATAATGCTTTATTGGTATTAAAATTTCTCACACTTGATTTACTTCAAGAAAAAAAAGAATATTAGATCATATTTTTCTCTGCGCTCTCACCTCATGCCCTTGAATTTTCTATTCATTGATCTTAATTTCAATGATAATTAGTATTAACAGAAAACTTCATTTGTTCAATAAATATTTAATTCCATTTAAGGCATGAGAATGTTTATCACCTAAAGCACCAAATCTTTTTAGATATTCATTATTGGTTCCATTTTTAATGGGTATAAAATTTTAATTGTGGAAACCAAGATTTTAAAACAAAAGTAGCAAACAAACAAACAAAACCATCCCTGAAGTTATTTAGAAAGCATCTGTACTTAATCATCACAAAGATCAGCCCAAGAGAGGTCATTTATTTGTTTCTAACTTTACACAAAATCCCAGTCAGTAAAAAAAGTGAAGGAAAATAAAGACTTGAGGCTGAGTGCAGTGGCTCAAGCTGTAATTCCAACACTTTGGAAGGTGGAGATGGGAAGATTGCTTGAAACCAGGAGTTTAAGACCAGCCTGGACAACATAGTGAGACTCCTTCTTCATTTACAAAAAAGAAAAAAAAGGGGGAAAAGAAAAGAGGAGCAAAAGGAGAAATCAGTATGTTCAAAGATATGGATATATTCAAGTCTTTTGGTAATACATAAAAAATATATATATTTTAAAAATTGCTACCATTTAAGTCCTGGGTAAACTAAATATATAACAACAGAGAATTACATCTTGCTAATGAAATTATTCTTTAAATGCATATGTAACTTAAGCCTGCTTACCGCTATCTGAAATGCCAACACCTTGAATTTCCCACGTAGTTAGAGAATCAGGTAGGGCAAACTGCAACTGTTTTCTGGAAGTTAAAATGTTGATATTTAAATACAGTAGAATATTGATTAACCCAACTTGAGAGAGACATCCATTAACAGAATTTTTGCTTCAAACTACTTTAGAAGAAAGAAAAAAATTCACAAGATGAAATCACATCAGGTATTAAGGAAAATCTCATCAAGAAAAAAAATTCAGTAACTCTGGTATATATTGCATGTTTTTAGACATTTCATCTCTATGATGAGAATTCAAGTTCAGAAAGATGCCTATGAAACATTGCAAAATCCAAGCATATAAAACAAAGAGAAAACTATGTTCATTGGCAGTATATTCTAAAATAGGGAAGCACAGTGATGCATGTTAGCACTGCTCAAAACAAAGCTGACATAACTAAAAACTTCTGATTATAATTAAGCTTGTATATTTATTTACAGCTGTTGTCTACCAACTTTGTATCAGGTATAGTGCTGAGTACCAAGTAAACAGCACTGAAAAGGTATAGTCCCACTCTCAGGCAGTTTACAATCTAGTGGAAGAAACAGTTAAGTAACTAAATTACACTGCACTGTAATAATTGTACCAATAAGGCATTATAAGAGTTCAGAGGCAGTGTGCATTCATTCAACACAAAAACAGTAATCTGAATTTAGTTCACACCCTCAAAGTATTTACATTTTAATTAATCCAATCACTGGTAGGGTGGGGAGAGTGGCCAGAAGGTTTACTAGAGGACATACTAGCTAATGAATAGTGTCAGATGAAATGGACACCAATTGTGTGGAAGAAAGATTAGAAAAGACAAGGGTAGAAACAAGGAGATGCCTGAGGAGACACCTGCAGGGCTCTGAAGGCATTCCTTGCCTTCTCATCGGAAAACCAGTGCTTTAAGTGCACCTAAGAAGAGTGTGGCTTGAGAACTCAGTACATCACTGTTTTCAGTGGTATAGAGGAAGTGTTTTTCTTAAAACATGTTGAATAAAAAACTTGAAAAGAACCTTTATTCTTGCTTATCAATGTTTGTTTTATAGTACAAGATATTTTAGGATAAAAATAGCGGCTTAATATAGTGTATAGCACATAGTTGTGTGTATTAAATGCATACTGAAGTGAAATAAAATTAAGTGGAATAGTACCCTTCTTCATTCTGCCCTGGAGCCAATCGCCGGTGCAATGTACATTAAAAAAATAAAAATTAAAAAAAGCAAAGCAAAACAACACAAAATCTTATCAAATTGCAGGATCATCTTAATTCTTTAGCAAGCTATTGGGAAATGGGTAGTTTCCAGATTTTTGGCATAATACTTGCATTATCCACATTTATTTCAAGGACACATGAAAGAAGTTGAATACCTTCTGGGAACATGATGAACTTCCCATAACCAACTTTCTGGAAAATAACTTCGAATTTCTGGCTTGCTTACTGGCAACAGGATCTTCATGTCTGGGCAAAAAAATCATATTTAATTATGAAAAAACAGTATAAATTCTACGTATTGCTGAACTTTAAAATATGGCCATTAATCTATAACTTAAGCATTTTCTTATAGGTAAATAAAATATTTTGTTTAATGCTTTCAAAATAGAACCATAGATAGGGTGCACTGGCTCATGCCGATAATCTCAGCACTTTGGGAGGCCAAGGTGGGCAGATCACCTGAGGTCAGGAATTCGAGACCAGCCTGGCCAACCTAGTGAAATCCTGTCTCTACTAAAATCACAAATATTAGCTGGGCGTGGTGGCGGGTGCCTGTAGTCCCAACTACTCAGTAGGCTGAGGCATGATAATCACTTTAACCTGGAAGTAGAGGTTGCAGTGAGCCGAGATTACACCACTGCACTCCTGCCTGGGTGACAAAGTGAGACTCTGTCTCAAAAAAACAAAAACAAAAACAAAAAAAAACTATAAAAGCTTAGGATTTGTCCACTAATAGCGTTGGCAAAACAAAGTATCAAAATATCTTTAATGATTTGTTTCTTAAATTGCTAAATGTTTAGTGTTCCTGAGATTATATAAGATATTGATCAATCTATAAAGTTATTTGCACTTATATAATTGTAATAATTGTGTTTATATTGGAATAAAGAGAAGCTTTATATGACACTCTGCCTTCCTTAACTTGGTAATTTGTTTATATTTAGTTGAATAAAAATGGACAGAACTTCTGTTTTTATCTAAGATGCATTAATAGAAAACTAAACATGATATACAAAACAACAGTTTTCAGACATTAGAGCATAAGCAGGACTGTGATCTCTGAGAGAAAGGAAACAATTAGGTGAAACCTAAAATTGTCCCAGCTTACTGCCTAGAGGCAGTTTACAGACTAGGGCAGGGAAAGGAATCCAAGCAGAGCCTGATGATTTTGAAGACTTGTGGCAGCACAGATGGGAGTTTTGCAAGGCCAAGTTGTCTGGAATGAGGGGCAGAGTTCCAGGGAGGAAGGGGCTGCAGAGAGAGACTTCTATCCAGCTGAAGCCAAGCCAGATGATTACTGGACCCCTTCCTGACACCTTACACTAAAATTAACTCCAGATGGATTAAAGACTTAAACATAAGACCTAATACCATAAAAACCCTAGAAGAAAACCTGAGCAAAACCATTCAGGACATAGGCATAGGCAAGGACTTCATGACTAAAACACCAAAAACATTGGCAACAAAAGCCAAAATATACAAATGGGACTTAATTAAACTCCAGAGCTGCTGTAGAGCAAAAGAAACAATCATTAGCGTGAACCAGCAACCAACAGAATGGGAAAAAATTCTTGCACTCTACCCATCTGACAAAGGGCTAATATCCAGAATCTACAAATAACTAAAACAAATATACAAGAAAAAAACAAACAAACCCATCCAAAAGTGGACGAAGGATATGAACAGACACTTTTCAAAAGAAGACATATATGAGGCCAACAAACATAAGAAAAAATGCTCATCATCACTGATTATTAGAGAAATGCAAATCAAAACCACATCAAGATACCACCTCATGCCAGCTAGAATGGCAATCATTAAAAAAATCTGGAGACAACAGATGCTGGAGAGGATGTGGAGAAATAGAAACTTTTACACTGTTGGTGGGAGTATAAACTAGTTTAACCATTGTGGAAGACAGTGTGGTGCTTCCTCAAGGACCCAGAAATAGAAATTCCATTTGACCCAGCAATCCCATTACTGGGTATATACCCAAAGGATTACAAGACCTGGAACCAACACAAATGCCCATGGATGATAGACTGGACAAGGAAAATGTGGCACATATACACCATGGAATACTATGCAACCATAAAAAATGATGAATTTGTGTCCTTTGTAGGGACATGGATGAATCTGGAAACCATAGGTCTCAGCAAACTGACACAAGAACAGAAAATCAAACACTGCATGTTCTCACTCATAGGTGGGTGATGAACAATGAGAACATATGGACACAAGAAGGGGAGCATCACACACTGGAGTCTGTTGTGGGGGGGGCAAGGGAGGGACAGTGAGGGGGTGGGGAGGTCAGGGAGGGATAACATGGGGAGAAATGCCAGATGTAGGTGATGGGGGGATGGAGGCAGCAAACCACATTGCCATGTGTGTACCTATGCAACAATCCTGCATGACCTGCACTTGTACCCCAGAAACTAAAGTACAATTTTAAAAAAATGAAACAATATATGAGACGGCAGAGCAAGACGGCTAAATAGAATCCTATACCATTTGCCTTTCCTGTTGGTACCCTAGATTTTAATAACTAACTACACACAAGAAGCACCATCATGAGAATCAGAAATCAGGTAAGCAATCACAGTACCTGGTTTTGACTTTACATCACTGAAAGAGACATTGAAGAGGGCAGAAAAGATAGTCTTGAAGCACTGATGCCACTCCTCCCCCATCCCCTAGCAGTGGCTGTGCAGTGTGGAGAACCTATATATTGGGAAAGCAAGAGTAGAGTGAATTCTGTGGTTTTACACTGAACTCAGTGCTGCATTGTCACAGTGGAAAGCAGAACCAGGCTGTACTCAGCTGATATCTGCCCATGGAGGGAGCATTTGGACTGGCCCTAGCCAGAGGGGGATCGCCCATCCCAGTGGTTGGAGCTTGAGTTTCTGCCAGCCTCCCCACCACGGGCTGGAGTGTTCTGGGGCTCTAGGTGAATTTGAGGGGCAGTCTAGGCCACAAGGACTGCAATTTCTAGGCAAATCCTAGTGCACTGGAAGTCCTAGCCAGAACCATTAGACAAGAGAAGGAAATAAAAGTCATTCAAACTAGAAAGGAAGAAGTCAAATGATCCTTGTATGCATATATCTGGAAAAACCTGAAGACTCCACACACACACAAAAAAAACTATTAGAACTACTAAATGAATTCTGTAAAGTTGCAGGATACAAAATCAATATACAAAAATCAGTAGCATTTCTATATGTCAATAGTGAACAATGTGAAAAAGAAATTTTAAAAGTAATCTCATTTACAATAGACACAAATAAAATTAAACACCTAGGAACCAACTTAACCAAAGAAGTGAAAGATTTCTACAATGAAAACTATAAAACACCAGTGAAAGAAATTCAAGAGGATACACAAAAAATAAATTTATTCCATATTCATGGATTGGAAGAATCAATATTGTTAAAATGTCCATACTACCCAAAGCAATCTCAATTCAATGCAATCTCTACGAAAATACCAATAACATTCTTCACAGAAATAGAAAAAAAATCCTAAAATTCATATGAAACTACAAAAGACCAGAATAGCCAAAGCAATTCTGAGCAAAAAGAAAAAAACCTGGAGGAATCACATTACCTAACTTCAAATCATACTATAGAGCTATAGTAACAAAAACAGCATGATACTGGCATAAAAGCTGACATATAGACCTGTGGAACAGAATAGAGAACCCAGAAACAAATCCACACACCCACAGTGAACTCATTTTTTGACAAAGGTGACAAGAACATACATTGGAGAAAGGACAGACTCTTCAATTAATGGTGCTGGGAAAACTGGATATCCATATGCGGAAGAATGAAATGCGACCCTTATCTCTCTCCATATACAAAACTCAAATAAAAATCGATTAACAAATTAACTCTAAGACCTCAAACTATAAAACTGCTACAGGAAACCAATGGGAAAACACTCCAGGACATTGGTAGGGCCAAAAGTTTCTTGCATAATAAATACCCCACTAGCACAGACAACCAAAGCCAAAATGGACAAATGGGATCACATCAAGTTAAAGAGCTTCTGTACAGCAAAGGAAACAATAAATAAAGGAGACAACCCATAGAATGGGAGAAAATATTTGCAACTACCCATCTGACAAGAGATTAATAACCAGAATATATTAAAAGTTCAAACAACCCTACAGGAAAAAAATGTAATAATCCCATTTAAAAATGAGCAAAAGATTTGAATAGACATTTCTCTAAAGAAGACATACAAATGGCAAGAAGGCATGTGAAAAGGTGCTCAACATCAGTAGTCACCAGAGAAATGCAATCAAAATGACAATGAAATATCATCTCATCTCAGTTAAAATGGCTTTTATTCAAAAGACAAGCAACAACAAACGCTGGAGGGGATATGGAGAAAAGGGAACCCTTGTACACTGTTGGTGGGACTGTAAATTACTATAACTACTATGGAGAACAGTTTGGAGTTTCTTCAAAAAACAAAGAACAGACCTACCATATGATCTGGCAATCCTACTGCTGGGTATATAACCAAAAGAAAGAAAATCAGTACTTCGAAGCCATATCTGCACTCCCATGTTTGTTGCAGCGCTGTTAAAAATAGTCAGGATTTGGAAGCAACCAAATGTCCACCAACAGATGAATGGATAAAGAAAATGTGGCCATACTCAGCCGTAAAAAGAATGAGATCCTGTCATTTGCAACAATATGGATGGACTGGAGGTCATTATGTTAAGTGAAGTAAGTTAGGCACAGAAAGACAAAATTTGCATGTTCTCACTTATTTGTAGGTGCTAAAAATCAAAACAATTTAACTCAGAGAGATAGAGACTAGAAGGCTGGGAAAGGTAGCAGGAGGATGTGGGGGATATGGGATGGTTTACGGGTACAAAAAATAGAAAGAATAAGGCTTAGTACTTGATAGCACAACAGGATAACCATAGTCAATAATAATTTCATTGTACATTTAAAAATAACTAAAAGAGTATAATTAGATTGTTTATAATACAAAGGAGGAATACCTCAAGGGATACCCCATTTTCCATGATGTGACTATTGCTTATTGCGTGCCTGTATCAAAGTATCTCATATACTTCACAAATATACATACCTATTGTTTACTCACAAAAATTTAAAAATTAAAAAAAAATTTAAGAGAAAAAAAAAGGCAAGTCCTCTTTCCAAAAAGAAAACCAACATATGGACTAGATAGTTTATTAAAATTCTGCTTATCATAAGCAAATATTATTAGCCAGGCATGGTGGCAGATGCCTGTAATCCTAGCTACTTCGGAGGCTGAGGCAGGAGAATCTCTTGAACCTGGGAGGTGGGGGTTGCAGTGAGCTGAGACCGTGCCATTGCAACAAGAATGAAACTTCATCTCTCAATACAAAAACAAACAAACAAACAAATACTGGAAAACAATCTGAATCTCATACATCGTACATCTCAATGAATATATTTCTACAAACATAAATTTTATGGCCATTTACCAAAATGATGGTTATAAGATATTGCTTAACAATAGGGTTATGTTCTGAGAAATGTGTTGTTAGGTGATTTTGTTGTTGTGAACATCATAGAGTGTACTTACACTAATCTAGATGGTATAACTTTCTACACATCTAGACTATATAGTATAGTATAGCCTATTACTCCTAGGCTACAAACCTATACAGCATGTTACTGACTGAATACTGCAGACAACTGTAGTGCAATGGTACGCATTTGTGTATCTAAGCATATCTAAACACAGAAAAGGTACAGCAAAAATATGGTATTATAATCCTCTAGGACAACTGTCACATATGCGGTCCATCATTGACGAAAATGTCATTACGTGGCACACATATGTATAAAACAGAAACTGTCATTTTGCTTTTGTTTGTTTAGTTAAGACTATATATAGGCCAGGCGCAGAGGCTCATGCCTGTAATCCCAGGACTTTGGGAGGCTGAGGCAGGCAGATCACCTGAGGTCAGGAGTTTGAGACCAGCCTGGCCAATATGGTGAAACCCTGTCTCTAATAAAAATA